ATAATTTTCTATCAGAAGATAGAATGACAATCGGAAAATGGATTGAAAATGGCGATTGGAAAGCTGGAAATCATAAAATGGTCATAACAATGTGCCACGAATGAATAGATGAAACGAAATCGAAGGAAAGGATCGTCCAAAGGACGACTGACGCTTAGGTGTGGTCCCATCAAGATAGATTTGCCAAGTTCTGATTAGAAAAACGGCACACCTAGAAAAATGGCACACCATTAAAAGTCAAATCGATATCAACGACCTCATTGGTTTCAAAATTGAATACTTTTAGATATTTTGATATACTTTGAATTTATTGTATACTTAAAACTTTTTTACCTATTACATATTTCTACTCACTTTATTTTTTAATTTATTGTATATTTCGTTTATCAATTTTGTATCAAATTTATGAAATAATTAATTTATGAATCGAAAAATAAAGGTACAATAATCAATTATCAAAGCACTAATGATTAGTAGAAAAATAAGTTCCTATAGATTATCATATGTTATCGCCTGCCATTAAATGGCAATTTGCTAATTGGTTGCTAGTAATTAAATTAACATTCATACTCATTGATATTTTAATTACTTGACAAGGAAATCCAAATGGAATTGATGGAATATTAACAATGACCATGAATAATATTATATTAATTTTAATAATCAAATTATTTTATTAACCAGAAAGTTTGCTTATATAATCATTTTTTGCAATATCCTTAAGAAAGAAAACAATTCATACGCACTTGATTTTAAATTTTTTCTCGCTAAAATTTTTCGTAAACATTACATAACCGTAATTGTAACTCAATTATTTTTAAAATCATTAATTTAACTAAAATCATAAAATATTTATGTAATATAAATAAAATAATATTTTGAAGAAATACCTTCGATCTTTGATTCGTAATAGTATCAGGATATACAAAAACTATTTCATTTCAATTCCTCTATCTTTCTCTACCAAATGAAATGTTTCACGTTCCCAAACGCGCGTTTGTTAATAAGAAACTTAAAATCAATTTCATGACAAAGAAAGAAAAGCTAAATATTACATCTTTTTATATTAATTTTTAGCAAAAGTGTATCAGTTACTCTTTGTTTTATTTATTAAATTATTTTTATATTCTATCTGAAATAGTTTCTTACTCAAAAAATTTTTAAGTTTTCATTAAAGTTAAATACTATATCTGTAATTGTTTTTAATATCTAAATATTACAAGAACATTAGTTATAAAATATTTTATATAAATAATTCAAAAATAAATGAGTACTAAAATTTATATACTAATTGACCTACTTTTATTTCATTGGTAAGCAAAAACTATAAAACCTTCGATAGCTCAGTTGGTAGAGCGGTGGACTGTAGTTGGCTTGTTTAAATTCATGGACATCCATAGGTCGCTGGTTCAAATCCGGCTCGAAGGAAATTTTTTTTTTTATTTTCTCTAGTACAAATATATATAATAATATAAATATATAATA